CTAAAGAGATACACAGTTTCTGCCTGTGTTAGTTAACCCACACGATGAAGTACTAATCAATAATGGCATCTCTTAGGTCTGATATCATCAGATATGATAGAAAATATTTCGCTGTCTCAAGATATTAGGGAAAAAAGGGAGTAAAGGAGTTTGTTATCCCAAGGAACATTTAAACAGGATGTTGAGATAACAGGACTTGAAAAAACACTGTGACCACTCTGAACTTCTGTACTACCACATTATATTTCTCACATACTTGCTTATAGATTATTTAACAGCATTAAGTCAAATCTGTTCAACTTTCCATCTCTTCTGTTCGCTGATCTCATTTACTACATTTTTGCACCATTAGAGTTTTGATGTGTTTTAGGATGACATGTTTTTTAAATCCCTTCACGTCTCATCTACAGTCCTGCCCCCCCGTTACATCAGTTAAACTTTGTGTCATCAGGTTGTGTGAGGAGAATCATCTGCAGCTCAATGTCAGTATTACACAGGCTGTAACGTGGCAAGAATCCATCACACCTGTCCAGTTGCAATAATAAATGTTTATGCTAAGTCTTCTCTTCTCTTCTCTTCTCTTCTCTTCTCTTCTCTTTCAGTGCTTTAAAGTGTTCCTCCATGTTTAAGAAGTGATGTTTTTTTGCTACCATCTCCTGGCCAAAATGAAAATTTCAGGAATGCAAATTGGAGAAAAAAAAGTGATATCTTTTACAAGTGAGTCCAACAGCTTCAACAGAATAAAGCAGAGTTTAATGGGTAATAAAGTAAACTGTTTGGATTGGCTCAAAATAAGGCACAATTAACTTGCTACACCTTAACTTAAGGTTATTAGAACTGATCCTAACTACAAACTTTCATACCTTGTAGTTACAGAATTAAAGCATAAATGTTGTTTATTTTATCTTATGGACTGATTTTAGTTTTGGAAATGTACTTTTCTTGCTGAAAGAAAAACATTGGAGGTTTCTGACCATAAAACCTAATATATTACATAAGTTGAACCTGGGTCTTTACCTCAGAGAACAAGTAGGATTAGGATGCAGCAAGAAGACAGAACAGTAAGAGCTCCGATTATACAGCAGAATCAGGTCACAGCTGTCATAAGTGAAAGGTAAAACAAGGCTGAACAGGATTCATTGGTGAGAGAAGAGAAGAGAAGATCCTTCATTTGTAAAATAATTAATGTGGCTACCAAGCAAGAGAAAAACAGTAAGAAAAAAGAGAATGAAGACTCAACTCTGGATGCTGAGCTGAATTAAGTTAAAAATAGCATTACTGGATATACAGCAACGGGACAGGATCAACTCAGTTATGATATGTTTCATAAGTTACCTGGTCAAGTATTGAGTATTATCCTGGAACTGTTTAATAAGATATGGAAAGAGGGATTGATGCCAAAAAGCTGGAAAAGTACAATTATATCCACTTTTACTAAACCCGGGAAAGATCCAAATAATGCTGGGATTTATCGACATATTGCCTTAAATTCACATCTGTGTCAATAGATGGAAAAGATCTTGATCTGAAGACTTAACTATTTCCTAGAACAGAGAGGACTGATAGCATCATATCAGAATGGATTGATATAGATACATAAATTATGACAATGAAAGAACTGATGACAGTTGTTTTCTTTGATATAGACAAAGCCTTTGATTCTCTGTGGAGAGAAGGACTGCTAATTCAGATGGATTGAATGGGTATCAGTGGAAGGTTTTATAACTAAGTACTAGACTTCCTATCAGAACGAAGGTTTAGAGTTAAAGTGGGTCCAGAGTTATCTGATGAGTATAATATAGTTAATGGAATCGATCAAGTACAGGAAGTGTTATTAGTCCAATATTATTTAACATTATCAATAAAATTTTTATGAATGTAGACAGAGGATATGATCAACACTGTATGCATCAGGGAGAGAGATTGTGGTAGTGTGCTGAGAAAGATTTAGGAGACTATTTTAAAGGAAGAGCAATGGTCATATAATTAATGAATATAATTAATTTAAACTTTTAACTAGCAAGTTTTATCAGAATCAGAATCAAAAATACTTTATTGATCCCCCGAGAAAAAATTGTTTGTTACAGTTGTTCTACTCACACAACGTCAAAGAAATAGCACTTATATACAATATCTAACACAATATATGGAATAGAAATGAATATATAGGTATATACATACATACATATAGTAAAAAGTAAAAATGGAATAGAAATAATATAAAGAATGATAAGAGCCTATATACAAAGTAAATGTAAATCTAAACAGAAATGTAAAAATATTCCACAGTATGTGCTGACAGAAAATAAATAAATAGTAACAAGTTTAAGATTGTGGTGATAATTACAAAGAATGACATAATAATGAAGTGAATTGCACGTAGACCCAGGTATTACACCTTAATCGACTTATTGCACATTATTGCTTATATTATGTTCTTCACCAGGAAGAGAAACAAAGACAAACAGAGTCTTCATTTATATGGGCAACCGATGGAGAAAGTGAAGGAGTTTCAGTACTGGGGAATATAACTAGAAACTAAAAACAAAATGTAAAAAAGTTATTAATCTAATGAGAGCTATATCTATGGGGAGCACATAAAAAAGCATGAGTAGTTATTTTTAGGGTGGATTTCTGTCTGACTTTGTGTTGGTGCAATGAGATCAACTCCAAGAGACGCTTTACTTGTACTGTATAGGGAGAAATCCCCACTGGAGTTTAGAGGGGACAAAATTGCATTAACTTATTGGATTCGTCTGAGAAGATGTGGAGATGAAAACCTCACTAAAAGTGTATTAAATGATTGTTGGGAGTATAATAGATTTAAGGGAACTGGTTTCGGTTGGAACATGAACAGTAAAGCAGAAGAAAATAACATTAAAGGTTTAACTCCCCTACTCCAATAAGTAACGTTCCCTCATGGCTGTTTCCTAAAGCAAACATTGACCTGAGTGTCTTAGAGAAAAAATGGGTAAAAAGTAAAAATGGACGCTGTGCAATTTAGTATATAAGAAATCATTTTTATAATTATCTACAGATCTTTACTGACAGCTCAAACATCGAAGGGATCATGTAGGAACAGGAATATATATTCCACTATTTTAAATATATTTGGGATCAGTTTATACAGCTGAGATGATGGCTGTAATTATTGGTCTTCAGTGGGTGGAAGAAGAGAGAACAGACAGGATAGTAGTGTGTCGTTTACAGTCAATTGGGGGAGATTTAATGTTAGATTTTTTTCAATATTCAGAGAGTTCAGGGATTTGGGATAGATGGGGGTAGTGCATTTGCAGAGAGGGTGGCTAAAAGAGCAATACATCTGAGGAATATAATGGACATTTCATTTGGGAAAGGGGAAAGTAAAGCACTAATCAAAAAGAAAATACCTGAAATTTGGTTAAAAAAAAGGTGGGATGGAGACAACAAGGGCAGAACAAGAGCAACAGAGCACAAAGTGTTAAAGGAAGAAATATAAGAGAGGAGATCTAGATGATCTAGATTAAGATTTGATTGCACTGGTTTAAATAAAACATTTATTTTTATTATTTTTTATTGGGTAAGGTAAATTCACCAGGACAGGAACATGTAACACTGTATCAAATACAGAGAAAGTAAGTTTACAGCATAGGGAGATATTTATATATATTTATTGTTTAGTATTGTTTATTTTGTCTATAGACTCATGTATGTTACCCTGTAAAAACATTTTGTAAACCCGTTTTTGAAAGCTGCTATATGAATATAAGTTAATAAATATAAAGTTTATTATCATTATTCTTATTCTTATTCTTATTCTTGTATAAACATAGCCGGTTCCACATACTCCGGTACGGTAGGTGGCGGTAT